GATAACCTCAACCGAATCTCTGATGCCAAATGTTGGGGAAAACGGGTTATTTCCCACACGAACGTAGTTTTAAAATTGACCTAAAATGTCAAGATTAAAACCACCAAAGGTTGCACAGCGGATAAACCTGTCAAACTATTGAATATTGAAACACAATGGAAAAGAACCGAATAAAAACAATAAAGGAGATAACACACCAAATTTATGAGGTTCGACGAGAATATCGTCTACTCCTCGGGCACCACACCGGATGATAACTTCACTATATCGCCAATATTACAACAAATGGAATTCTTTAGAATTCCCAAAGTGGGAGAATGAAGAATACAAGATGAAGAGAGAACTTGTTTTTGGGATGATTTCTAATGGAAATACTTAGGCCTATTTATAGTTGAGTTTTAAGAACAATATGTTCAAAGTTTGACCACCTACCAAAGAATTTTCCAATGTGTACAAGTTAGCCACCAAATATGAAATTCACATGTTCAAAGTTTGGCCACCAACCAAGATAAAATTTCCAATAAGTTGGCCACCAACCAAGATGAAATTTCCAACTTGTCAACTTAATTTTTAGACAAATCTAACATGCTCTTCTCACCTAGAATAAATCTTATTAGGTAAAGTTGTTAAATCAAACATACCATTATACAGGAATCCGTCCAAGCACCATCTCCCAGCAGCGTTGCTCCCCCTTTGGTGAGGTATCTCCAACAACTGGAATACCCTGGTCTCTTGGGATACTATCTGATATTTTATCAATTAGGCGACCAAAATAAATATAGGATCCGTAGGTGCCCCTCCCTTGTCCAGTTCTTCTTTAGCTGCACTGCTTTGGCATTCAATGTTGGCATAATACTAAAATTACCCCAAGATTTACAAAAATAGCATTTTGTCTCTTATTCTATTTTTTTTATCATTTTGGCCAGTTTCATTTTAGGTCAAAAAGGTTCCTAACATTTGACTAAATAATCACTCTGTCTATTATTCTTTTGTTCTTGTGTATTTTAGCCCTTAAAGTTTCATTCTAGCTTAAAAAGACTATTATTTTGGAGTGTTAGTCGTGTATTAACTAAATATTTTTATCTATAGAGGGAGTTTTTTGCCCTAAAATAAAACGTTGAAGGTCAAACTGTTTCAAAAAATAGAATAAGGGAAAAAAGACCAGTTTAATAAACGCTAGGAGCTATTTTTGGTATTATACCTTCAATGTTCTCCGACAATTTGTTAATTGCTTGTAGAGTTAATTGCACAAGAAGTCCTCAAACTATGACTTTCATTTTAAATTAGTCTATAAAATTTAAAATATTTCATATCAATCCTTAAAATATGATCTCAGTCTAAATTGATTTCTAAACTTTAAAATATTCTTTGATTTTTCTCAAACTATCAGTATCATCCTATTTTGATTTTTCCGTTCATGTATCGTTAACTATATATGTTTTTAATGTCTTGGAAACTGAACATATAATCTTCAAAAAATATTTTTTAAGGCCCTAAGAATTGACCTAGTGACCTAAAAAGAATTAATTTGTTTTTAAGGTCCGAGAATGTTTTTAAGAAGATCATGTGTTCAATTTTCAAGACATATATATATATATATATATATATATATATATATATATATATATATATATATTTGAATTGAAATGGAGATAGAAACTGAACTAGCTAAGGCTAGTTTTGCAGTAAGGGGGGCCTGCTAAATCCCTATGAAGAAGCTCACAAATAAAGCCTGGAGGGGAGTCATGATGGAGCGGCTCAAAGTGGGACTGAGGAACATACTTTGCTCTGGCGTCTGCAGGGAAGTTGGCCTCACGTGGAACCCAGGTGAAATCGAAAGCCCAACCCCGCCGTTGAAGCATGGAAATGGCTCGGACGAGAAGGTTGGGGCCGAGATTGCTGTTGGGAGCATTAATAGCCAAAATTGCATGGAAATGGCTTGGAATGCATCCGAGATCCCAACGATCCCAATAAATCCGTGAATCCAAGAACCAGAGCTATAACGGAGAATGCCTATATATTAATTTTTTTAATCAATAGAGTTAACGACATATTAATAAAAAAGTCAAATTAAAATAATGTTATAATTTGAAGACACATAAAATATTTTAAATTTAAAGACTAATTTAAAATCAAAGTCATAGTTTAAGGGTTCATATAAAATATTTTAAAGTTCGTATATTAATTTAAGATAAGTAGTAGTTTAGAATATTATGTGTAATTATAACTTACGTTTAGGGACCTCCAAAACTTTCAATCCTCCATCATACTGGACTCTGGACTCGCTAAACTGACAACTCTTTTCATCAGTCAAGATCTTCAAACAAATCTCTCCACCTATCGAAATTTTCGACTAGCCTATATTCTTCGGATACAATCTTTTCGTCAACTATAATGTGTAGATAAGACCATTGATAGGTCCACGTGACGAGCTAGAATGAAATTTAAAATCTGACTATCGTATTTACATAACCTGACGATCTTCAAGTAGTCATGATAACCCTACGACTAACATGCACATTAAGAATCACTATAAATATCTATTGACATAACCGATAAGGGGTTGATTCCTTTAACAACCATCAATCTCCTTCTTTTTTCTCATGATCGACTCTCTAGTTTCTGTAATACAAAAATTTCGACCGCCGACCGCGACTCTCTGCTCAAATAAAAAGGAGGGTATCACTCAAAGCTAATGAAATAAACTTTTTCCCATTAATTGATATAAAAACATGAATCTTATTTATATCAAAGTTTTCGGAGTTTAAAAATGAAATTATTTTTAGGTAAGAAAAAAAATTATAAATTATTTTTAATCTCATAATTTGTTAAAAATTCAATTTTTTTTAAATTACATAATCAAACAAAATAAAAGGAAAATCCCATTTTTTTTATCTGAAACTCCTTGTTATTTGATAGTGACAATGATCTCTACTATATTAAGAATTGATTTGAATTGAACCCAAAACGAACAAAAATTAAACAATAAATCAGTAAAGTATTCCTGAGGAATTGTAGATTGGAAATTGGATGCATTAATACCATATTAAACAAGTTTGTAGCATTTATTAAACCCGTACATTAAAATTCAAATATAAATATATTTGAACCGTCTTCCACAATAAAGCCTACTAAATTTGGGAAATTGAAAGCAAAAGAATATGCCTTGATTATAATAGTAATTAAGCTAAGATTGAGTCACTTAACATCAAGAATTAAGATAGAGTCATAATGGCGCGCAACCTACTCATCCAATGGTGGATCCTCAACCTCAACTGTTACCAACTCTCTCTCTCTCTCTCTTCCTCGTTTACACGATTTAAATATCATATCTTCCCCTTAAAAACAAATATGAAATCTTCTGCAAAAATGAACAGCATCAAAAGCATCTTCATCTTCCCCCTTCTTCTCATCACTGCTTTACCATCTGCAGCTCTCAGCACTGATTTTCCCAATCTTTATCGTCGTCCCAACTAAACAAACGCAGCAAAACAAGCGACCAAAAAAACAATGGTGGGATTGGTGGCTTGTTCGGTCCTGGACCGGGTGGTTTTGGGATTCCGGCGTGGGGAAATGGGATCATAGGCGGTGGTTATGGAGCCGGAGTCGGAGGCCCCTACGGAGGATACTCGAGAGGTGATGTCATTAGCCCTAGTGTTGTTTGCAAAGAAAAGGGTCCTTGTTTCACCAAGAGGCTCGCCTGCCCTGCTAAGTGCTTCTCCTCTTTTAGCAGCTCCGGGAATGGATACGGTGGTGGCTGCACCGTGGATTGTAAGAAAAAATGTATTGCTTATTGTTAAGTGGCTAATATTATACATATATAATTAGTAGCTACTTATTTCTACCATGGATGTATGATTGACTATATATGATCAGATGCATGAAGTTTTTAATTAAAAATATGACGATTAAAATATGATATTTATCTACTGTATTTGGAGACGAGTGAGAGTTTTTTCTACTTTACTGGTGGATTAACTATTACATTTTATTTTAAATAGAACATATGATAATATTGTTATATCACAATATCACATGCGAAGATTATCGGACCACAACATTTTTCGAAAAACGTTTAGAAGAAATATCATGGCACTCTGTTATAGTTAGTGTTCAGAATACATGCAGTATGAAATAACGTTGTCTTCTAAATGTTTTTCTTTCTAAAAACGTTAAACTGCAATCTTTACCTATGCGCTGTTCTGGTTGAGAAAATAATTTCTTCAACACATTATTCTATCAAATTTAACCAATAGTAAAATAATTCAGTTTAACTCAATTTATTACAATGGTGGTTAAATATCATTGTCTGATTGCAATATTTGATACGATATGATTTTATGATATCGTAAATCGATAGGGACAGTGATGCAACTGTTCTGCATTTTCGTTACTATTATGGTGGTGAGTCTTGCGACTCTGGCCACTACTTTTTCTTGTGTTGATCCAAACTTCAGATCATCCTGTAATTTTTAGTCCAAGAATAACTACGATATTGTTGAGTCTTAACCAGGATTTAATATTACAAGACTAGGGTTGAACTTAACAAATCATATGGTTTTAGGCACGAAAATTGTGTTTAATTCGGATGAAAAACATGTTTTGTTGGCTTAAGAAGGGTATAACATATTAGACCGAGCGAAAATAGAATATAAGAAGACTTAAGACGATAAAATGATAAGAGATTTAATCCGAATGCTCATATTTATCTTATTTGCTTATTAAATTGATTATAACATTTGAGCTGAAGAGAGTCTCTATTTATACTTGAATCTCCCTATAATCGACAATGTATTAATGCAACATTGACCCCATTTCCTCTATCGACTAGGGTGAATTAAATCTCCTTACAATAGATTTCTATTTTTGGATGAATTAAATCTCTCTAGTACAAACTAATATTGGAATACTTTTTGGTTTCGGTTCCGAAGTGTTGCTTAAAACTCCTCAGACGCCTATGCATGCATAAGTCTCGAATTTGTATAGGGCATGCGTATCTCTGTCACTTGAAACTCATTGTCTTAATTACACATTACACTATGAATCAATTGCACATGAAACTCTATACATGAAAAATGAAATCCAATCGAGTATTTGTCTAAGGTGTCTTCTAATTAATCTCCAGAGCAAACATATATATATATATATATATATATATGATGGCACACACAAGAAATTACAGAGATTGGTGCAACAAAGTGACCCGAAACGAGAAACAAAAAGCTCTATGCATATAAGGAGAATCAACACATGCATAGGTTTTTCATGTCTCGTTGCAGCTAGTGTCTGTGCCATTAGAAGGCAGCCCTCATAGCTCCTCTTGCAGCTTCGCGTTTCATCTCAGCAGCTCTACCGCTGCCACGGAAATACATGTATACTTGCTGCAAAACCAATAGCCGATGATGTTAGAAATTCTGTTCGTGCATGTTTATGTGGTTGCTGCAATAAGGTTGGGGACTGAACATACCTGGATAACCCAGATGCTTATGATCGATTCGATACAAAATAATCCGAAACCAATGAAGTAGAAGATCTATACAAACAAAATAATTTTCATCAGAATGGTTAAGACAAATCAAGAGTATAACTGTTCATTCTTTCTGCTCCCATCTATGTTCCCACTAAACACCTCAATGTGCATAAATTTCTCAGGTTAAATGCTTCACTGTTTAATGGTTAAATCATCAAACTTTCGAAGGTTAAGGATATGCTTACCCCAACCAATGCATGGTTACCGATAAGATCAACTGCAGGTAGGATCCCGCTGTATCGGACAAAACAACACCGGTAAGATGTATGAAGGAAAAAAATGAACCAGAACACCTTGATTGAGATTGAAGAATCCGAAAAAACAAAATGTGCATCATGTCAACTCAAATTGTTTAGGAACATACGTTAGCGATTTCCCTCTAAAAACTATAGGGGGAGCCACAGCAGCGAATATGCAAAAGCCGATGTGAACCTATACACAGGAAAGAATATGTGATAAAAAGCTCAGTACCTACCGACTCCTAGAACAAAAGAAACATATCTGAGAAACATGAGGTATTACTAAATAAAAGAGGAAGAACCGGCCGAATGAGAGAGCACTTTCTTTCCTACATTATAGCTGGCATTAGAGGCAAGCCAACATTTAAAAAACATAGGGAAAAAAGGACTGCAATGTTAAGGAACTGAGTGGAGCATGTTAAGTACCTAAAAGCACGATACAGTGGGTGATACCACAAAACATAGGCTCCTGGAACCCCTGCTATGAAGAAGATAACAGCCAAGAACCAGATCCTCACACCTAAACAATAACAAATACAGTAAAACCAGCATAATCCTAACATTATATATTCAGAAAAAAACAATAAGGCTTGGCTTGTCTGAACTAGCCTTCTCCTCTGATCCACGCTGTAGTAACAGCTACGATGTTCCATAGAAGGCACAGGCACAATCCTGCAAAGAATTATCCAATGCAATCATTTGGAGATTACAAACTCGTATGAACAGAGCACAAATTTTCATTTCGGTAGACAAGATCGAACATTGAGTGATACATAGATAGACCAGGCGTAGAACAAAAGGTGAATAAGCCTTGAAAAAGCCTTACATACCTAAAAATGTTGAAAATGCGACATACTGCAATCTTTGTAGATGAACTGGTATGTCATTCGCAATATCATGATGAATGATAGGAAAAAATGGTGGCCAATTTTTCTCTTCCAAAACAATTCCAGCTGCAAAATGGAGAAGTCAAAATCTAGCTCACGGTAGAAAAAAGAATCAAGTAAAAAAAAATTGCAAAAAAAAATGTTATGTTCAACAAAACTTGAAACAATGTGCAAAACTAAATCTTTTCAATGTGAATAGTCATATTATAATGAAAGGTACCTCTTGTTGCTGCCTCTTCTTTTCGTCTCACTTCCTGAATGGAATAAGCTGATCAGCGAAAATTGTAGGGATCAAATGATTCATAGGGCGCCAAAGGGCAGAAAACAAGTAATGTTCTTGCTATTTATTTCTGAAACATATATGCATGAACAGAAATAAAATCTATGATCTGTAAAATAAGAATGAATTAGAAGTTCAAAATTTTCTTTCCACAATATACCTGCTCCCGCCTATTCAGTTCAGCCTCCTTAGCTTGGAGTTCCTTCTCTTTCTTCTTCAAATCCTAGATTTATGCAGTAAAACCATAAAAGCGAGATCAAAAGCTTAACCAAAACGATCGAAACAGCATTCAGAGACAGGTTTTCACTCTTGGATAACCTGAGATGATCCTCCTGAAGCTGTATCCAGATGAATGTCGATTGCTGCCTCACGACCGTGATTGAAACCAGCAGGTTCTGGAGGTAGTGGTGAAAGTCTTGAGTTTGATGTGGGTGGAGCGCTTGGAACATTCTGAAAATTTATTCATGGTACATATTCAAGAAGCAAGTATTTAATATAAGAAAACTTTCCAGTTTTTCCAATGTTGGAGAAATGCTAAAAGGCCAAATTCGAGATGACCAAATCACAACAATATAGCAAGCAACCTGTTCTTTCTGAAGTTATTCATCCTAAACCTTGACACATCCAAGTTAACTGCTAAACCTATCAGCATCAGAAAAAGAACTAAGTTTCTAGTTTGATCACCACAATCTTACTATAGAATTTACCTTCAACAACATAGACTGCTAATCCTTGACATATTCCCTAGAAAGTAGAAACTATGTAAACATGGGTTTCCTTTACCTTCGAAAATAGACCTCCAAATTTAGACTGGCCAGATGCCTTCCCTCTCACAGCTGGATCCTGCTGGTAGAAATTATATAAAAGAAAGAATCATATGAAAACTGAATTTGGCTAGCATTCGTATTACCGTATACTAAGTTATACTTATGAATCAAGTCATAAAACCCAGAAAATGCATGAGTCTTCTTTTCAAGGATTCATCAAAGTGCAAAAGAATATGTTTTTTTAGCCCTGGGAAGTTTATTTGATTATAATTTAATAATCGAAAATAAGCTTGATATAGGTTTTCTACTTTATTTAATGCCATTTTCAGCAACAAAGAAAAACATAAAGTCTTTGAAATGATCACGTCAACTACAACAACCAAGTAAAACACTTCCGATAACCATAATTCAACCAAAATTCAGATCAAACTGAAATCACAGAAAGCGATCAGCGAATAAAATCAAGTCAACGTATAATCCATTAATAAACCTTTCATCAAACGCCTAAAAAACAGAGCTCGCTACCAAAACCTCATCAAACGACAAAAAGGGAGAAAGAGAAACTAACTGAGAAAGGGTTGACTTCGTCTTCGCCTTCAGCGAATGGGTTTTCATCGAAACCACCTGCCATCTGTTTAGAATGGTTTTCTGCAAAACCTTAAAAAAAAGAAACTGAAAATTGGATAATTATAAATGACAAGGATCTAAACTAGAGAGAAGAAAAAGGCTTAAGCTTTCATAAGAAGGTAGTTGAAAACTCAAAGTCAAGAATTTTATTCTTTTTGAATAAATTCTGTGTTCTTAAGGGGAGAAGAGCTAAATTTTCTAGAGAGAGAAAACGTGGTTTCGCTGTTGAGAAGACAGAGAGTGTAAGAGAAGTTTGGACTTTTCTGTCATTGTAAATGTAAAGTGAGAGGAAACTGCGGTAAAATAAGCACGTAATTATAAATTAACAAAGAAAGGACGAATATTTTATTTAATTTTTTAAGTTATATTAAATTTATGATATTTAAATCTGATTGAATATGTTTGCTTGAATTTATCTTTTTAAAATTGAAATAATTATTTATAATGTTATATATTAATTGGTTCTAATTAGGGATGACATACAAATATAATTTTAGGGATTTCGTATCGTATTCGTATTAATTGAAATTGGGATAGATATAAGTTTAATGGATAGTGAGCGGGTATGGATGTAAAAGTTATATTCGTTGTGGGTAGTGGATAGGTGATATGTTTAAGACCTTACCCACCTCATATTCGTCAACCCTATATCCGCCCATCTACTAAATATCTAATATATAAAATTTGGATCACTATAGATTTAGATATAATTCCAAAGATTATTTTGTAAATATTAAGATTTTATAGGACATAACATGTAATGTAACCAAATATTATGATATAAATATTTTTAAAATTAAAATTAATTGTTTTTCCTGTCTCAAATCGGTGGGTATAGACGGATACAAATGTTTATGGGATGGGTGGTGGATATACAATTAATTAATAGATGTAAGGATAAATTTAAGAATGTGTCAACGTGAGCGAGTATAAAAAATCTAAATAAATAATGTGGAATGCAAATGAGGTTTTCAAGTCAATCGATTAACTCATATCGAAAATTTAGAGTCAACGTGTCAAGTAAATATCAGTCAAGGTGAATGGTCAGTGGATTGAATATATTAGGTCTTGGGTTTGAATCGGATCAGATAGGGTACTAGGCTGGGGTTAGAACTGGGCTTGGATCAGACGAATTGGCTTCGATGCAGGCTCGGTTAATTTTGACTTGTAATTTCATGATAGTAATCTTGGATACAACCTTTACACCAGAAGAATAACGTGCTAACATGGCCAAACTGTGCAATACCGGTTCAAGTATCCTTAATCGATAATCTGGCATTGTCTGCTTTCTGTGATCCAGTCGAGAAGTCGAATTCAACGCACTCCTTTACAGGTCATGGCCTTAGGTGCATATTTGTTTTTCGTGTTTGATCTCATTTCATTATACAAACTTCATACATATAAACAAAACCTCCGATAACCTGTTTCTCTTTGGAGGAAACGACCACTGGGTGTGTAGCCTTGCGGAATTTGTGGCCATAGCTCGATGGCTACCAAACTATTCATGAAGGACTTCACGAGGACTGGGAACAAAGAAAAAGATATGGGATCATGCAGCTAGTGCTCTTATCATACAGGAAGCCGGTGGTGTTGTGACAGATGCAGGGCGATTTTTCAAAAAGGAAGGTCTCGATCGGGGTATAATTGCTTATGCCGGAGCTAAACTGTATGAAGAATTCATCAATGCTAGCTGGAACATCGATCTATGATCAATATTACATTGCATATTGATTACTGCAAACAAAAGATGCCACGGTCGAGTGGGCTGCTACGAAATGGTCCTTAATGTTTATATCTGTTCATAGAGCTTGAGTTATTGGGTTGATTTAGCATCAGACCCAAATTTGATCAATTGGAGGATAATATGGCAACATCATTGGAAGCACATAATCTACCTAGAACTGCTTTGTCTTCTGAGATTTTTCAAGTACTACTAACATGTCCTACCTGTGTTTTATCTTGAATAAATAAACTAAATATGTTTCTATATTAAAAAAAATCATCCGATCCGATTCAAACATATCTTTTAAAAAATTATTGATTATGTTGATATAATTATTTATAATGTTATATATTAATTGGTTCTAATTAGGGATGATAGACGCATATAATTTCAGGGATTTCGTATCGTATTCGTACCAATTGGGATGAGGATAGATATAAGTTTAATAGATAGTGGGCGGGTATGGATATAAAAAGTTATACTCGTCGTGGGTATTGGGTAGGTGATAGGTTTAAGACCTTACCCGCCTTATATTTGTCCACTATATAAAATTTGGACCACTATAGATTTAGGTATAATTCCAAAGATTATTTTGTAAATATTAAGATTTTATAGGACATAACATGTAATGTAACCAAATATTATGGTATAAACATTTTTAAAATTGAAATTAATTGTTTTTCCTATCTCAAATCGGTGGGTATGGACGGATACAAACGTTTATGGGATGGGTGGTGGGTATACAATTAGTTAATGCGTGTAAAGATGAATTTAAAAATGTATTTCCTTAGGCGAGTGTAGATTTGAAAATTTCACTCATCGTGAATGGTTGGTAAATGATGGATATAAAAATATTAAGTAGGTATAGGGATAGGGAAGGGGTACTCGCACCCATCCACCCATTTGTCATATCTAGTTCTAATTCATAAGACCCTCTATTAAAAAGTCACATGAATCTTACTAATTATATATATATATATATATATATATATATATATATTATATTGTTCTTTGTAGAGTTCCTACCCTGACAATTGAAAAATAGAGTAAATTATGCGTTAAAATAAGAAAGTTTTAAATAGATATCACATTGTAACACTTAATACTATTAAAAATATGATAAATTAAGCGTTTAGTACCTAAACTATCAGTTTTGGTACGTTTTAGTATTTTAACTTTCAATTTTTTAAAATTATACCTAAAGTTCAATTTTTGTTTCATTTTAGCACCTCACCGTTAAAAGTTTTAGTTTTTGTTTCATTTTAATATCCCTTTCAAAATTTAACGTTAAGTTTTCAAAAATTTGAAATTTTAGATACTAAAATGGATCAAAATTGATAATTTATGTACTAAACGCGTTAAGTTTTTAACGGCCGAGTATTAAAAAATGAAAACTAAATGTTATGTATGATTTTGAAAAAACTTAAAGTTTAAGTATTAAAATGGATCAAAACTGATAGTTATGTACTAAATGTGTAATTTAACCTAAAAATATTTGTAATGTTATTTAATAAATAACTTCTAAAATTATATAATATATTTATGATATTTTTAAAGAAAATATTTTGAGGATAAAACATTAACGATAGTGTAAATGATTCAAATAATCAATTTGAACAAAACACAAAATTAAGAGATTAAATTAAAAAGAAGAAATATATTTTCAAAATGAAAAATTGAAGTTAACAAATATTTTATAATTTTTGAGGAAAATATAATTTAAATTTATTCAAAAAATTTTTAAAGAGAAACACGATGTGAAGAGAAAAAGAAACTAAGAACTAAATAAATTATTTAATTATAGACGAAACAATATCATTTAATTTTTTGTTACTTAGTTATTCTAAATTTATAAATTAAAATTCAACATATAAATTAAAAATTTAGGTTGAATCTAATAACATAAAATACGATATAAAATTGCCAATTAAATTGAGAAATTCAAAATAAATTAATTAAATAAATAAAATTAGGAATTAAATATATTTGTTACAAATAGACCTTCCCACCTGCTCCAAGCTGGAAGATTTTCAGCTCATGTATTAGTTCAGGCTGACATGTATGTCAACAAACTTTTTCATCCGGGTACAACACTCTCAACAACTCTAATTTATTGAGATTCAAAAAATAAACGTTAGAGTTTTAGTAGAATTCAAACTCCTAAAAATATAATAGAGTTTTACTAGGATTTAAACTCCTAAAAATAGGATAGAGTTTTACTAGGATTCAAACTCCCAAAAATATGATAGAATTTTACTATGATTCAAACTCCTAAAAATAGGTTCCACAAGCATTATAAATAGCCATTGTAACTCACTATTGTAACACACGATTTACATACAAAATACAAAGAAAACGTGGGACCACATTCCATAGTCTGAAACACAAAACACCTAGTGTGTTGTTGCTTCACACGATCCCAAGACATTTAAATCCAAGTCCGGTGTTACACCAGTGGTGCAAAAGCAAGTAAGAAGAAGCGCTAAGGATTTGTAGCTGAGTTGAATACACGGACTTTAATTTTCATTTGCAGTTTGAAAGGTTTTTTAATTGCTTTTGTTGTTTTGGAACGTGTTTGTTTGCGGAATTTTATAACTAGATGATTATTAAATGCCTTTGAACAATGAGTTAGATAAGCCCATAATATGCAATAGACGAATTGTTGTTGTTCTTTTTCTGCTTTATAAAATACCAACGCTGACTGTTTTGAAATGGATGAGTTCTATATTTGTTGTGTTTATTTCACATGTTGGTGTTTCTCATGTTCATTTGTCATAATAAATAGGAATTAGGAAATGATAATACATTATTATTTATTATTTATTATTTATTATTCATTTTTTTCTTTTTGTTTAACATTCTATATTTTATTTTGTCATCTACCATTTTGTTTATTTTTTCTTCGGTAGTAATTTCAACCGAAGATAAATAATTTGAATCAGGTTTTTAAATTTCAATTTTCGCAATTAAAGACAACCGATAAATTAATTGGAAACGAAAGGGCGGATCAAGGGTGCTAATCCTTCCTTGACCGTAACCGACTCCCGAACCCGACACGTTTCTGGTACAACGCAGATCATGTAAGATGGTGTCCGACCCACCTAAATTCGTTTTAAAATGGTCGATGGCGACTCTAACCCAATTCATTCAAGTCGAAGCCCAATTCCCGGGGCCCAACCGAAAGACGGTTCCGACAGCTTGGCGACACTGCTGGGGACATGTAAGTGAGTCAGGCCGAAATTAATTTTCGGTTGTCTTTTTATTCGAAAATGGTAAATTTTAATTTTAATTTATTTATTCGATTCAAATTATTTACATTTTATTATTTTTCAAGTAAATAGTTGTACTAACGTTTTTTTAATGATTTCAGATTTTTCGAAATTGTCATCTCTAGCTCTATACCCGAGCTCGAACCCTTTTAAGTATGGGGCGAAAGCGACGCCTTCA